TGTGAGTGGGGGAGGGGCAGAGAGAGAGAGAGAGAGAGAGAGAGAGAGAGAATCTGAAGCAGGCTCCACACTCTTAGCTGTCAGCACAGAGCCGGATGCAGGGCTCAAACTCACAAACCATGAGATCATGACCTGAGCTGAAATGGCATGCTTAACTGAGCCACCAAGACACCCCTAGAAGCTTTTTATCTCAATGAGGTCCCAATAGATCACTTTTGCTTTTGTTTCCCTTGCCTCTGGAAACATGTCAAGTGAGAAGTTGCTGCAGCCTAAGTCAAAGAGGTTGCTGCCTGTTTTCTTCTCTAGGATTCTGATGGTTTCCTGTCTCACGTTTAGGTCTTTCACCCATTTTGGATTTATTTTTGTGTATGGTGTAAGACAGTGGTCTAGTTTCATTCTGCATGTTGTTGTCCAGTGCTCCCAGCACCATTTGCTAAAGAGACTGTCTTTTTTCCACTGGATACTATTTCCTGTTTTGTTGAAGATTAGTTGACCATGTATTTGTGGGTCCATTTCTGGGTTCTCTATTCTGTTCCATTGATCTATGTGTCTGTTTTTATGCCAATACCATCTGTCTTGATGATTACAGCTTTGTAATACAGGTTAAAAGTCTGATATTTGGATGCTTCCAGCTTTAGTTTTCTTTTCCAACATTACTTTGGCCATTTGGGGTCTTTTGTGGTTCCATACAAATTTTAGGATTGTTTGTTCTAGCTCTGTGAAGAATGCTGGTGCTATTTTGGTAGGGATTGCACTGAATGTGTTGATTGCTTTGGATAGTATTGAAATTTTAACAATATTTGTTATTCCAATCTTTAAGCATGGAATATTTTTCCATTTCTTTGTGTATCCTTCAATTTCTTTCATAAGCTACATGAAATTCACTTTAGATCCAAAGACACAAATACGTTGAGCAGATGGAAGAAGATACTCCATATAAATACTAACCAAAAGAGAGCTAAAGTAACTATACTAATATCAGACAAAATAGACTTTGAGTCAAAAACTGTTGCAAGAGACAAAAGACATTATACATTAATAAAAAATTCAATTTAGCAAAAAAAAATGATTATATATGTTCCAAACAACAAAGACCCACATTATATGAAGCAAATATTAACAAAATTGAAGGAAGAACTTCATTATGTCACTTTCAGTAAAACATGTAAACAGAAGATTAGTAAGGAAATAGAATACTTGAACAATAAAATAAACTAACTAGGCCTAACAAACAGAGTTCACTCCACCCAACAAAAGCAGAGAATACACATTCTTCTCAAGTGCACACAGAACATTATCCAAGATAGGTCACGTTAGGCCACAAGTCTCAATAAGGTTACAAAGACTGAAATCATTCAAAGTGTATTTTCTGACTATAATGAATAAAACTAAAAATTTGAGAAGATGCAGAAAGTTTATGTCTAATAAAAATGAGCCCACAGGTATTTCTGAAAATTAATAAAAATGGATACATCGGGCATTTAGCACACATTAGTCTAGATTGATAGCAGAGACAGAAGGGACTTGGAAACTGTATTCCTGGAGATGTTTTTAATTATAGCAACAGAAAGCCCAACTCAAATTGTCCTAAACACTGAAAGGAATTTAGTAGTAGATTGTATTACTAAAACTATCCAGAGAAAAGACTTAAATTCTGGAATGGTTTAATCAGGACTTCAGCTACAGCTACATTTCTGGGCCATTCTCTTGTTTCGACTTCCCCTGTGAATGCATGTGATCCTTAGGCAGCTTCCCCGACAGCAGCAATTCTGATGTCTCATTCACCTGCCACACTGCCCACACAAGGTCTCAACAGAGCTCATTACAATGTTATCTCAACACTGAACATTAAGACACTGATGTTTCATAAGCCAAATTGCATCATATATCCATCCCTGAGCCAGACACAGGGAGCTCACTGATAAGTTTAGGTCAGACTGCACCCTAGGGGATGACTGTGACCTAACAGAGGAGGGGTGGAGAGGACTGTGGGAGGGTAGTTACAGTGTCCGTTACTGAGATCATCCAGTCTAACTCTTTTTGTTTTATACATAAAGCCAATCTAAAAATCAAAGCTCATTGATTTCCCAAATTTATAGTTTGTCAATTCTAGGCTAAGAACTGAACCACAGTCTACTGAAACTGGATATCAATCTCCTCCAAAGAAGGACATGGACTGAGGAAGAAAAACTGTGATGCCAGAAGCATTAAGTGGTCGGCAAGTATGGTGAGGTTACAATAGTTTACCCAGGGAAACAATAGACCTGAAGACCCAGAAACAGATTTCTGAATGAACTCCCCAGGAAGCTGGAATGGGTCTAAGATGAATAAATAAGTGAGGGGTAAATAGAAGCCAAATATGTAACATATACACATGAATTCAGAAAGGATTTTGAAGTAATATATAAATAAAATTATGTACCCAAGTGGTGATCCCTCTCCTCCTGAGCTGAAGGTCAGACATGATTGAATCACAAGCTTGGAGATAAGATGGGAAACCAGAGTGCAGAGAAGAGCCATCCACTTGATCAAACAGGGCACGCATTCCTGTCCCTGTTCTCCATTTACTATACTGAAATCTGTTGGTTGGTATCAGGGATCCATTTTACTGCAATGTACTTAAGCTACAGAGAAGGTCATGGAGCATTAGCTCCAGCCCATGTACGAGATAATAAGGAACCAGAAAGGAAATGAGCTGTGGTTGGTGGGAATGTCAGGAGGGGAAGGTAGATGTGACACGTGAAATTCTTGGTAAACTAACTTAAAATAGTCTTTGGAACCAGTCATATGCAGAATTGGAGTTTAGGTGAAATTGACAGGATAATTAGAAACGTATTTGCACACTCCAAAAATTAGTCGTGCGACAAACAGCCCAGTCTCGGTTAGACAAGCAGATGATGATGAGATGTTGATTAGATGGATAGATCGGTAGATAGATAGATAGATAGATAGATAGACAGACAGCTGAAGAGACAGACTTACCTTTTCCTTTTCAAATTGAGGAGTGAGATGAGATGGAGAGAAGGAAAACTCATACAAGGAAAACTCAAGTCCAGAAAATATAAAGAAGTAAAAATGCCCAATAATGGAAGAATTTATGACCTAATCAATAAGGAAAGGCTTATAATTAAAACATCCAATTCAGCCTAGAACAACTGCAGTGGAATGGAGACAGTAAGAGCTCTAGGTAAGAGGCAAGAAAAAAAACAAAGGACAGGAATCAGGGTAGGTTGTTAGGAAGATCATCTCAGTAAAAAGTTCAGTTGCAACAAGTTCAGCCGGCTGATGACAATAGACAGCCTGGCATATGATAAAGGCGAAAAGGATTGTTAGCAACTTGGAGTAGTAGGAATTAAATAGGCAAAAGGGTGAAACAGGTGGAAACTGTCAAAACTACTAACCGCTGCCAATCCCTATACTATTCCTCTGCATACAAAACGTTTCCCACATTATCTCTGATCCCCATAAGAGTCTTAAAAAGAAAACTGTTTTAGTTTTCTGAATCTTTGGAAAAGTATGTGATTTAATCAACTGGGTGGCAATTTTAATTTTAGGAAATCCCAACATTTCACGGCATGGGAAAAACAAAAATGCATTTCACATTTCAGGCACAAATTTCTTGAAGAGTCAATATTTTCATATTTTATATGAAAATAGACAGGCTTTAGTTTAAAATCAGTTTAATCTATCATGAACTAAAGAAAAATAATATGTAGAGAACACATTTTTGGAATGACAAGTGTTTTTTGAGTGTGCTTGTGGATGGAAGTGTGTGCTCATGAATTCACACGTCGTATCGAAGGTTGTATTCAGGGGCATGTATGAAAACTCCAAGGCAAAATCCTCATGAATTCCACCACTTTGTACCCCTTTAAGAAAGTATGTGTGATTTTAAATAAAAAGCAATAAACTGGAAGGAAAATGTCCTGGAAAAAAACCTCATCTATCATTTATGAGTATGCATTACAGCTATAGTTCAAAATACAGAAATCCTTATTCCAAATATTACAAAGACCTTTGGGTGGCCTCAGTAAACCTAGGCAAACTTGAATTCTATAGATCTTTTAAGTAACTAATGGAAACTAACTGCACCACCTGTACACACAAACGTGCACACACATACACGCATACACATACCCAGGAGACACTTGGTCATTAGAAAAATTGCTAATCATCTGGCCAACTTTTGGCAAATTACTGCTCAGCTATGTGGTTTACACTTCGCTCAAATAAACTCTTGGTAGTTATTATCCCTCATTTCCACTCGTTTTTTGTGTTCTTAAGATATGGCAGGGAGTATTTTAACAGAAATATCTGAATTGGTAGAATCCCAAAAGCTTCCTGGGTGAACTCCACTTCTTGAGGCCAGCATTCATGTTTTCAGTGTTAGGAACATTAAAGAGACTAGAGTCAGGGTGCCTGGGTGGCTCAGTTGGTTGAGTGTCTGACTTCAGTTCAGGTCATAATCTCACAATTTGTGGGTTGGAGACCCACATAGGGCTTTGCGCTGGACAGCACAGAGCCTGCTTTGGATTCTCTGTCTCCCTCTCTCTCTGTCCCTCCCCTGCTCTCTCTCACACATGCGCTCTCTCTCAAAAATAAATAACATTTAAAAAGAGATACTAGGAATGCCTGGGTGCCTCAGTCAGTTAAGCATCTGACTTCAGCTCAGGTCATGATCTCGTGCTCCATGAGTTGGACCCCCAGGCTGGGTTCTGTGCTGACAGCTCGGAGCTTGCAGCCTGCTTCAGATCGTGTCTCGCTCTCTCTGTGCCATTCCCCCACTCATGCTCTCTCTGTCTCTCAAAAATGAATAAATGTTAAAAAATAAATAAAATAAAAAGAAAGACTAGAGTCATGCCAACACCCAGGAATCATCAATGATCTCTTTTGAAACTCTAATCAAGCCTAGATCCTAGGAAAGACTGGGACTGTGATACATAATGTGGTTGCCGTGGATCAGCTGGGAGGTAAGGGTATCAGTGGAGCTCTACATCAGCTTATTTTGTAGAAATAATGTTCTTGATCCATGGCACGTAGCTGTGTAGGTCAGTGAAGACAACAATGTATCCTGTTAGAATACATCCGGTTTCCCAAGACAAAATCCCTTGTAATTCACCGCCACATATGGCTGGTGCAGCTGTGACCACCTGCCAGATAGAGTACAGGAATGAGAACTTCCTTACCACCTGAGATTTCATACCTGAACAAAAATGAAACCCACTATATTTGCCATGCAAAGGGGTCCAGGATATAAGAATCTAGTATGAAAGCTTCTTTCCAATGCACTAACTACCCTTACACCTCCCACTCATCCCTAGACAGATATTTCAAAGAACTATCTGGAAGACAGCTTTCCACTCCTCAAAAATCTATTTCTCTTGTCGCTATCACAGGGTGGAGAAGAGTGATCATTCTTTACCCCCTTATTCTCTGAGCTCCTAGCCTACTGAAAAATCCAGATGGACCCTCGATGAAGGAGGAGAGACACAGAGACTGAGTTTATGCACAAATGAGGTAAGAAGACTTACCTGGCAGTGATCCTGACTTCCTAGCGTGGGTCCCATACAGAACATGTCTTCAAGGAGTTTTTCACCCAGTATTTTTTTGCAGTTTACATTAAAGTTCAATTGAGCCGTGACACTTTGCAGCTTACTATGTGAATTTCCTAAGCACAAGAAATAAAGGAGACTTTCATTCCCGTTTGCCTTTTCATAAGGCATCCTACCTCCTTCTCCTTCAAGCCTTCTTCTCAGTAAGAATGGACTGCAGAAGAACTGATGGAACACACCATGGGTCAAACACATCCTCCTGCTCTGTTTATCATCTCTGAAAGATGATCAGCATCAAGGGATGGTTGGTGAGAAGATACTCCACACATCAAACAAGATCGGAATCCAAGCTCTGTCATCACCAAGTTCATGATCTTGGATAATTAATTTCCCAAAGTCTTAGTTTCCTCTTTTATAAGGTATTAATCCCAAGAAAACTTATCTACATGATATGTGATGATAACTGTATAATATCTATAGGATGCTTAGCGCTTGGTAGGTAATCAGCGATCAGCAAATGGTAGTCATTATCATTGTAATTGATAACAATATCACTCCTGTTAGGTCAAGGGAAAGTAGGATTTGTTACCAATTTGCAAATTAAGATCCAAAGAAGTTAAAAAATTTGTTCATAAACCTACAATGAATGGTAGAACCAATACTCAAACATAGATCTCTGAGTTCCAGTCCCTGCAGGGTGTGCCAATGGGATACACACATGTAACACCTTGATCTAGGAATCGATTCTCAAGGCCCAAAAGATCATCTCTTCTCCTGTAGAAAGCCAATACCACTCGTGCCATTTCTAGTTTTCCACACAGGCTTAGAAATCTGACACTAGGCCTCTAAGTTCCAATTCCTTCCCCTAATTCCTCAGAGATCTTGAAGATGTGAATATATCCAAGAACTATCTCTTCTTTTTGATAGTCACTCACCAATAAAGTCTTTAGTCTGTAACCAGGTGTGAATCAAGCAATCTTTAACTGCATTCTTGAGAGTAGGCAACTGAAACATATTGGTGGAGAAGAAAGTGAAAGGTACAGACAACTTTATCAGCATGAGGTCATTTTTAGGAGAGGTGGCAGTGAAGTTTGGGTGAACAATGATCTTCTCATAAGGTAAAATCTCCCCATGAAAGTCTCGAAGATTTGCGGAACTATCATGAAAGATGACCCAAAGATCTCTGGAAAATTAAAAAGAAAAAAAAAAGGATTGACACTCACAGGTCACAAGGCTAATCACCCCCCCCCACACACACACACACACAATTTCCTTCTATAGTAACCCATTTAATCTTTTTCTCTCATGTTTGCCCATTTGATCTTTTTTTTTTTTAATTTTTTTAATGTTTATTTATTTTTGAGAGAGAGAGGGCGCGAGCAGGGGAGGGGCAGAGAGAGAAGGAGACACAGAATCCAAAACAGACTCCAGGCTCTGAGCTATCGGCACAGAGGCTGACACAGGGCTCGAACCCACAAACCATGAGATCACAACCTGAGCCAAAGTCAGATGCTCAAATGACTGAGCCACCCAGTGCCCCTGTCCATTTGATCTTTTATATGTAGGTGCCACATGGGGTCATGCAGGTGATGCACTATACAAGTCAATGGGTTACCATTCACATAGACTATAATGGGGATGGTGCCTCCAGGAGTTAAGCAGTGCAATGGCTTGGGCTCTACCCTTAGCATAATTCTCGAGAGAAGGTCCAATTCAAGACCTAGAAACAGCGGAAAGAAGCATGCAAATGGATAGTCAAGGCTTTTATGAAAGTAGTAGGTTCTGTTAGGGAGGCTTCTTCGGGAGTTGGGGGAAACAGGAAATGTGAAATTGTAAAGAGGAAATGAGTAACAGCTTCGAGAGGTTAAATATTTTAAAGGTATGGAGGATCACCTGAATATACTATGCTTTACTCATGTCTATCAAAACTGCTGGATTTACAGGGTCTTCCGGTAGATCTTTGGGAAAACAGTAGTCAAAGATCCTGGTTTTCCACTGAGATCCAGTTGAGATCCACTCTCACTAACATGGCTCAAAACCCTAAATTCAGGGGCACCTGGGTGGCTCAGTCAGTTAAGCGTCTGACTTTGGCTCAGGTCATGATCTCACAGCTTGTGAGCTCAAGACCCGCGTTGGGCTCTGTGCTGACAGCTCAGAGCCTGGAGGCTGCTTTGGATTCTGTGTCTCCCTCTTTCTTTGCCCCTCCCCTGCTTGTGCTCTCTGTGTCTCATAAATGAATAAATGTTAAAAAAAAAAATTTTTTTAACCTGAAATTCAGAACAGGGCACTCCTGTGAGGCCCCTGAGTCAGTCACTCAGGGATTTCTCTAGCAACAACAGTGAGATAGGTACCACACTGGTACTGAGCATCAATTTTTGTTGTTGTTGAGCTCCCAAATGCTAAGTTTATATTGTCTCCTAACAACAGTACCATTTGTCTCCCAGTCTGTCTTTGTCGCCTTATGGACAGTTATCAGATAAAGTCTAAAGAGAGAGGACAGAAATAGGCCTGATAAATTCATCCTTCAGTCAATCCCAAGGACTGACAAGTTTAAAAGATCTCATCAGAGCAGCATCCTTTAGACAAATTTTGCTTTGGCTCGCTTTTACAAGATATTATACATTATAAGGACTTTCCTTAGTTTTGTTGTGTTCCTGAGAACTACCACACTTAGTTTCATCTGCTTGGAGTGAAGGATTCTGCTAGGTGCTTAGATGGGGATGACTGGTCTTTGGCCAGGGTATCGTAACTGTTATAGTTCTCATTGGATCATCTTAGTCTATTTGGTTCTTTGTACCAAACACATGCTCCCTTTGTGTTTAAATTCATGTGATAGCTCTCCAGTCGGCATAATTCCCCAAGGACAATAAGAAAGTACAGTCGCCCCTCAGAGGAACTTTTGACAAGAGCAATGTTGTTCATTTGACAGATACATTAGAACAAAAAGGAAAGAAGCCTTCATGATAAGATTCTTTCTCTTTTATCTTTCTAAATGAGAGATCACTTAATGACCTTCGTCCCTCCATTTCCATACCTTGGGAATTAATGAGTACTGGGTTTAATTATACAACTTAAATTATACAACTTCTACAACTGAACCTGGGTGGTTCAGTCAGTTAGGCATCCAATTCTTGATTTTGGCTCAGTGCATGATCTCACGGTTCATGGGTTCCAGCCCCACATCAGGCTCCATGCTGACAGTGCAGAGCCTGCTTGGGTTTCTCTCTCTCTCCCTCTCTCTCTCTCTGCCCCTCCCATGCATGTGCTCTCTCTCTCTCTCTCTCTCAAAATAAATAAACAAACTTGTTTAAATCAGTTTTAGCAACTCTCTTGTGTGTCTTGTGTGTCAAATTGGCTTTTTCTGTTTCTAAGATTACTCTCCTTTCTTGCTGAAGGAAAGTCATTCATGTTTATAGTGTTGATTTAATAACTAAAACCAGTGCCCTCTAATATTTTATCCTTCCTCTATTTCTCTTTTTTCCTTCTGTTAAGAAATTTTGTGACTTATCATAAAATATATTTATAAGTAATTGCAGAAGTTTATATTTTAAAGAATTTATGATAAATAGATGATTCAGGCAAATTATAGTGAGTGCATTTCAGTTTAAGGCAGCTCTATGACATGTAAAACTAAACTATGGTGGAAAAACAAGAGAATAGTGGTTGCCTCTGAGGGATATGGATGGACCATAATGAAGAAGGGGGTATAAGGAAGGCATTCGGATATCGTTTAACTTTGAATTCTGTTACATTAAATTTCCATATTAAAATTTATAAAGCAATGACTAAAAGAATAGGACATGTGTATATTCGACAACAAAAATGAAGAAGAATTAAAAGGTATCTAAAATATTAATCAAGTAAAAGGGCAAAAGCATTTTCACACAAATATAAAGAGTAGAAATTCAAAATAGGTAGAAAAAATCTGAGTATAATAATAATCAAAATAAATACAAATGGCCTAAACTCATCAGTTAAAAGACAGAAATTATAAACTGTATTTTTAGAAATCCTGCTATATGTAAATTAAGAGATGTGCTTAAATAAAAAAGATACAGAAAGGCAGAAAAGTAAAGATGTAAAATGATATACCAGGACAATACTAACCAACCAAACAACCAACCAGGATTGGCATGTTAATATCTGATAAATAGGCTCTAGGACAAACAATATTATATATATGAGAGAAAGTAATGACATACAGTAATAGCCTTGATTTATTGGGAATGTACACAAAGTACCTACATTATAAATGTACCTAAATTTACATATATTTAATAAAATACCCTAAAAAACATTTTTTAAAAAAGTAATAAAGTTATAGGACTATTTTGCTCAATCTACTAATACAGAAGAATATTTCAACTTAAATCTCTCAATTATTGATTTATTAAGCAAAAAAAAAAAATAAAAATAAAAATAGTAAGGATACCAAAGACTTAAACTACACAATTGAAGTTTGATATATAGAGAGACTTCTACCCTAAAATTAGAGAGTATACATTCTTTCATAACATGGGGGGTTGCAAAAATTGACTTGATACTGGTCTGAAAAGCAAGTCCCAATTCTTTTCAAAGAATTAGTATCACATAGATCACACTCTCTGACCACAAAAACAATTAAACTAGAACCCAAAGAATTTTTTTTAATTTGGAAAGTTATCCCTCAAAATTTACCCCTCCATATTCTAAACTTATGAATGAAAGATTTAATCATGAGGAAATTTTTAAAAATTATTTAGAATTAAAATAATAATGAAAATGTCCCTTTTCAAAGATGGCAAATAGAAAATCCACAGGAACATATATATAAATTACTAGAAACAGTAGGAGAATATAACAAAGCAACAAGCCATTAGATCAATTTATGAACACCAATTACATTTCCATCATCACTAACAAGTAGAAAATATAATTTTCTGAAAGTACATCAATTAAAATATAATAGCAAAATATAAAGCACTTTAAGAATAAATTTAATAAGATATGTGCAAGACATGTATTCAGATAAAATAAATTTCTTGAAACGCATTAAAGGGAAAGCTAAATAAGTGGAGAGATATGCCAGATTCATGGCTGGGAATAATCAATATCAGAAAAATATCAATTCTCCCCAGCTGATACAAAGAGCTAAAGCAATTCCAAATAAATCACAACAGAGTTTTTCATAAAGCTTGAAAAGTTATTTAAAAGAATACCTAAGTGTTCCTGATAAATAAAAACATGGTTGGCCTACCCTATCAGAAATCACGAATTATAATAAAGTCATAATTTTTAAGACACTGTGGAATTGGTCTATAATAAATAACCCAAAGGAGCAGTACAGAGACAGAGAGACCCAAAACAGACCCATGCAAAAATAAAGAATTTTGATAGATGTCAGAAGTGGTGTTGCAGGTTGTTGAAGAAAGAAGAGACCATTAGATAAATGAAATGTGGATATTTAGCTTACTATGTTAAAAACAACAAAACTGGATCCCTACTTCACAGCATTCACAAAAATCAGTTCCAAATGATATAAATACTTAAACATAAAATCAAGTCTTTAGAATCTCTAGAAATAACCTTAAAGAAATATCTTTCTGATCTTGATGTCATAAAGAATATTTTCAACCAGTCACAATACCCAACAACCACAAATAAAGATTGATAATTTAAATGTTAAATCATATTATAGTCAAATGAAGAGCTCTTATTAATCAAAATACACCATTAAAGAGAAGATCAAGCCACAAAGAAGATATTTTCAACATATGTAATTGACAAAAGAGTTATATCTAGGGCATTTATAGAAGTTCTACAAAGCAATTTTTTTTGAAAAGTCACAAAATGTTCAAAAAACATGAAAGAATATATCCCAGAAGAAATATTAATAGCAGAAGGAAGAGGATGGAGAAGGACAAGGAGGAGGAGAAAAAAATAAGCCAATCATCGCTACTAATAAAGATAATAAAATTATGAGCATAACAAGAAATTTAACACAATCAGCAAAATAATAAAAAAGTTGGACAATACTCAATGCTGGAAAATGCTTATAAATCGCTGGAGGATGTGTAAAGTGAACATTAGCATCCTCTATGACATCCAGGAGATGTTGTTGCAGATACACCGATATGTATGCATGTATATGTGTATATATATACATCTATATGTGTGTGTGTATTGCAGATATACACATGAGAATACCTTCCAAGGTACATGGTACAACTATGATTACAGTAACCATTCACAATAGCAGAAACCTAGAAATAACTCAAATGTCTACCAAGAAAAGAATGAACAAATTGTGATAGTCACATTTAAATATTATACTGTAATGAAAAATGAAATATAATCATATCCCTAACATTTTGGATGAATCTTAAAAACATTAAGAATGATTTGCAAGGTCAGGGTGCCTGGGTGGCTCAGTCAGTTGAGCATCGACTCTTGATTTCTGCTCAGGTCATGATCTCACAGTTGGGGAGTTCGAGCCCCGCAACGGGCTCTGTGCTGACAGTGCAGAGCCTGCTTGGGATTCTGTCTCCCTCTCTCTCTGCCCCTCCCCTGATCACTCTTTATCTCTCTCTCTCTCAACAATAAATAAATAAATAAATATTTTTTTAAAAAAAGAGTGGCCTGCAAAGTTATTTTTACCTATACGTAAGGTATCATATTACACCGTATTACTTTTCCTTTTGGGACATGTCAAACATAAGAATGTGGAACATTCCTTAGTCAAGTTGTATCTGAGTAGCTGAACTCCCTTTTACCATGATAGTCCTAGAATCTCTTGACCACAAAGTGTTTAGAATTCCCACAAGAAGTGCGGAGGCCCAGCCTCGGAGCCTGGGAACAGAGTGGATGGATCCCCATCACTTACGGTAAGAAGCAGTGTGCAGCCGTCAACACCCACTGAGGGGCAATCAGAGTCCCCACACAGGACCGATAACTGGAATTCAGGTAAAATAAGTAGAGAAGGTGATTTAACCCTTCTATGTCTTCACTAACAAATGAAACACCACCTGGAAGACAGAGAGAAGAGAATCAAGGGATATAAACTGGCTGACTAAAGAGAACTCAAGGTGCTTATAGAGATTTCAGAATGCTGGTATCAGTTAATATAAATATTTACCACTTATTAATCACTTAGCCCCTACTCTATGGTACTAGAGAACCATACTGTACAAAACACTGTATTAAAGTACTTGATGTACTTTTTAATTTTTTTTTATTTTTCACAGGAAAAAAAACTATAGGGTGTATAAATTTTATATTATCTTACAGATTAAGAATTTATTGAAGAGAGTGTCTTTTCCACATTGAATATTCTAGTCTTCTTTGTCATAGATTAATTGACCATATAATCATGGGTTTATTTCTGGGCTCTCTATTCTGTTCCAGTGATCTATGTGTTTTTGTGACAGTACCATACTGTTTTACTCTACAGCTTTGTAGTACGACTTGAAACCTGGAATTGTGAGGTCTCCAGCTTTGTTGTTCTTTCTCAAGATAGACAATATAATGGAATATTAGGCAGCCATAAAAAAGGATGTGATAGTGCCATTTGCAATGATATGAATAGACCTAGAGGGTTTTATGCAAAGTGAAATATGTCAGACTGAGAAAGACAAATACCACATACGTGGAATCTAAAAAAATCTGATAAATAAACAAACAAAAAAGAGAAATAGGCCTATAAATACAGAGAACAAACTGATGGTTAACAGAGGGCAGGGGGATGAGGGGATGGAAAAAATGGGCACAAGTTTCTATAGAATAAATAAGTCATGGGAATACAGTCCATGATATTCTAAAAGCTAGTATGGTGCCAGATGGTAACTATAATTATGGTGAGCATAGTATAATGTATAAACTCGTGGAATCACTGAATCACTATGCTGTAGACCTGTAATGTTGTGTGTCAACTGTATTCAATTTTTTTATTTAAATAAAATTAGCACACGAGGTCATATGACCAGTGAATGATGGTTGGTTCAAAGATTCAGACTTCAGTCCATGTGATTCCAAATCCCATTTATGCACTTCTCTTCTACAGGACCTCCCTGCCTCTCCTCACCCAGTTTGCTGCTTTCCAGAGTGACTTAGCTTATTTCTAACCTTCCAAAGGCTTAAGGATTCTTGGCTGTATCCACAGTCAAGCATTGCAGCCTTTCCTATAGCTCCCTGATTTTTCCTACTGGTTGACTACAGGGACACTCTGAGACCAGTCATCATAACTCCTGCAGGAAAAAAAAAATAAGTAATTAAAAATAAAACTTTAATTCTGGCAAAAGAATATAGGGAGAGATACTCTATACAGACACTGAAGTATAGTACACTACTTATCCTCTGGAAACAGATGCCTTGATTCAAATTCGGGCTGTATCCTTAGGAGTATGGACTTGAACAAATTATGTAGATCCCTATGTTAATTTCCTTACTTGTACACTGAGATCATAACAACTTCTTTCCTAGGGTTTCTGTGAGAAATAAATGTGGTAATATATGTAAATTGTTTGGAAGAATGTTTCATGTATAATGTGTGTTCAGTAAATGTTATTTCTTACTAATTCAGCTTCAAGTATATTTTAATGTTGAGAAAGTGCAAAACAATGTTCAAAACGAGACAAAGACAAAGCCCTTTCATGATCCCCAATATGACTAAACATCAGCTATTAACTGATACGTCTTTTCTTTGCATTATTGCTATTATCAGTGACAGCTCTATTTTAATCCTCCACTTCCTTAAAAAAAACCTTTTGAGAAACCCAATTCTGAACTGATCCCATTTCTCTAAATCCATCTTCAAAATTATCCAGCATAGGCTCAAACCCTGTAAGATGCCCCTCCCATCTGGGGTACTTCTGAGGTTCTCTGGAGTGTGTTCTTCCCACTGCATAAAGAAAAAAAAAAACCTCACTATTCTCATTATTGCTGTGTTCTTGGTGCCATTTGGTTGATGGGTACAACAAAGGCAGATTAAATCCTGCTTTCTCCAGTTTAGGAACAGCAGGAAAATAGAAAACTATTTTTTAAGTTTTTATTTTAATTCCAGTTAGTTAATATACAGTGCTGTCAGTTCTGAGTGTACAATATAGTAGTTTAACACTTCCATACAACACCCAGCGCCCATCACAAGTGCACTCCTTAATCCTCATCACCTATTTCATCCATCCCCCCGCCCACCTCTCTTCCAGTAACCATCAGTTTGTTCTCTATAGTGAAGAGTCTGTTTCTTGGTTTGCCTCTCTTTTTTCCTCTTTGCCTGTTTGCTTTGTTTTTTAAATACCACACGAGTGAAATCATGGTATTTGTCTTTCTCTAACTTATTTCATTTGGCATAATACTCTCTAGCTCTATCAACATCATTGCATATGGCAAGATTTCATTCTTTTTTATGGCTGAGTAATATTCCATTGTGAATATATATCACATCTTCTTTATCCATTTATCGGTCAATGGATACTTGGATTGTTTCCATAGTTTGGCTATGGTAGATAATGCTTCTATAAACATTGGGGTGCATGTATTCCTTTCAACTAGCAGATGTGCTAGATCACAGGGTAGTTCTGTTTTTAACTTTTTGAGGAACCTCCATACTGGTTTCCACAGTGACTGTACCAGTTTGCATTCCCACCAGCAGTATAAGAGAGTTCTTTTTTTCCCACATCCTCACCCAACACTTGTTTATTGTGTTTTTGATTTTAGCCATTCTGACACATGTGAGGTGATCTCATTGTGGTTTTGAGTTGCACTTCTCTGATGAGTGATGTTGAGCATCTCTTCATGTATCTGTTGGCCATCTGTATGTCTTCTTCTGACAAATGTCTACTTATGTCTTCTGACCATTTTTTAATTGGATTATTCATTTGGGGGGGTACTAAGTTTTATAAGTTCTTTATATATTTTGGGTACTAACCCTTTATCAGGTATGTCATTTGCAAATATTTTCTCCCATTCAGTAGACTGCCTTTTACTTTTGTTGATTATTTCCTTCACTGTGCAGATGCTTTTTATTTTATGAAGCCCCTATAGTTTATGTTTACTTTTGTTTCCCTTGCCTCAGGGGACATATCTAGAAAAAAGGTGCTATTGCCAATGTCAAAGACCATTTTTATGGCTTCAGGTCTCACATTTAGGTCTTTAATCCATTTTGAATGGTTTTTTCTTCAAGATTGCTTTGGCTGTTCAGGTCTTTTGTGGGATTTTAGGATTCTTTGTTCAAGTTCTATGAGAAATGCTATTGATATTTTGATAAGGATTGCAATAAATGCGTAGATTGCTTTGGGTAGTATAAACATTTTAATAATATTTTTCTTCCAATCCATGAGCATGGAATGTCTGTTTCTTTGTGTCATCTTCAATTTCTTTCATCAGTGTTTTATAGTTTTCAGAGTACAGGTCTTTCACCTCTTTGGTTTGGTTTATCTTAGGTATCTTAAGGGTCTTGGTGCAGTTGTAAATGGGACTGATTCCTTAATTTCTCTTTCTGCTGCCTCATTACTGGTATATAGAAATGCAACAGATTTCTAAATGTTGATTCCTATTTCAGTTTTGGTAGTTTATATGTTTCTAGGAATTTATCCATTTCTTCTAGGTTATCCAATCTGTTTGCATAGTTTTTCATAATATGCTCTTACAATTGTTTGTATTTCTGTGATGCTGGTTGTTATTTCTCCTCTCTCATTTGTGATTTTATTAATTATCAATTTTATTAATTTTTTCAAAGAACCAACTCCTGGTTTCATTCATCTGTTCTATTTTTGTTTTGTTTTTTAGTTTCTACATCCTTTATTTCTGCTCTAATCTTTGTAATTTCCTTCCTTCTGCTGGCTTTAGGCTTTGTTTGTTATTCTTCTTCTAGCTCCTTTAGGTGTAAGGTTAGGTTGTTTATTTGAGATTTCTTTTGCTTCTTGACGTAGACCTGTATTGCTACATATTTCCCTCTTAGGACTGCTTTTGCTGTATCCCAATGTTTTGGACTGTTGTGTTTCCATTTTTATGTGTTTCCATGTATTTTTAAAATTTCTTCTTTGATTCCCTGGTTCAGTTTTAGTAGCATGTAGTTTAACTTCCATGCATTTGTAGTCTTCACAAATTTTCTTGTGGTTGAATTCTAGGTTCATAATGTTGTGGTCAAAAAAAGGTGTACCATATGATTTCAATCTTTTTAGTATTTATTGAGGCCTGTTTTATGACCTAACTTGAGACCTATTCTGGAGAATTTTCCATGTGCACTTGAAAAGAATGTGTATTCTGCTGGTTTAGGATGGAATATTCTGAATATATGTTATATCCATCTGGTCCAGTGTCATTCAAAGCCACTGTTTTCTCGTCTATTTTCTGTTTAGATGCTCTATCCATTGATGTAAGTGGGGTGTTAAAGTCCCCTACTATTATTGTGTTATTATCAATCAGTTCCTTTATGCTTGTTATTAACTTTTACATATTTGGGTGTTTTCATGTTGGAGGCATAAATATTTATAATTATTAGATCTTGCTGGATTGTCCCCTTTACTATTATATAGTACCCTTCTTTTATCTTGTAACAGTCTTTGTTTTAAAGTTTAGCTGGTCTGATATAAATATTGCTACTCCGTGCTTTCTTTTGACCTCCATTTACATGATAATTGTTTCTCCACCCCCTCATTTTCAATCTGCAGGTATTTTCAGGTATAAAATGAGTTTCTTATAGGCAGCATATAGTTGGGTTTTTTTAATGTTTATTTGTTTTTGAGAGAGAGAGTGACAGAGTGCAAGTTGGGGAGGGGCAGAGAGAGAGGGAGACACAGAATCTGAAGCAGGCTCCAGGCTCTGAGCTGTCAGCACACAGCCCAACGTGGGGCTTGAACTCATGAACCATGATATCATGACCTGAGCCAAAGTCAGACACTTAACCGACTGAGCCACCTAGGCACACTTAGTTGGGTCTGTTTTTAAATACATTCGTACACCTCTGTCTTTTGATTGGAGCATTTAGTCCACTTACATTCAAAGTAATTATTGATAGATATGTATTTACTGCCATTTTATTACTTGTTTTGTTATTGTTTCTGGAGATTTTCTCTGATCCTTTCTTGTCTTTGTCACTTTGTTCCAATTTGGGTTTCTCTTGCTTTGTCAATTTATGTTTCTGGGTCCTAGGGTTTTCACTTATAGACGATAAGTAGTGAAGGAACAATGATGTGTACACTATCCCCCACTATCTGGGACAGTGTCTGGCACATGGTAGGAACTCAAAATGTATGAGTGATTGGAGTAAAATTCACCTTGTTTGCAGGGATCCACTGGGAGGCTCTGAAATTAATGAAATGGTTTTCTGAATCCATAAGTGAAGCAACCATCATCAGAAGACTAAGACCTAATGTTATGTATATGTGTGTGTACTTTTTTCCCAAATTCATATATGCATGCATTTATTTAAAAAAATATTTCCTGAATATCTACTATGTGCCAGGCAACATATTTGATGTTAATATAAAAGGGTATTCAATAGAAGTAGACTTTGCCTTCATGAAATGAGGGAGGGAGACAATAAGCAAATAAACACATCAATAGACAGCTATAAGTTGGATGAGATAGAATGTTCCATGAGAAAGAATAAGAAGAGAGGGTAAACAAAGGATCTAATTTAGTTTGGGTGGGCAAAAAAGTACTTGCCGGGTAAGTGACGGGTAATCTGAGACAGCAAAGATGAGAAAAACCAGCCATGGGAAGAGCAGAAGAAAGAGCTTTTCCAGAACTGCGTGTGCAAAGGCTCAAGGATGGGAAAGAACTGGGAAATGCTCAGGAGTCTGAAGACAGCCAAAGAAATTGAAGCCTAGTGGGAGAGGAAAAGATTGGCCTAAAAGGAGCCTTGAGAGGAGGATTTTATTCTAAGTGTAATAAAAAATCTATTAAAGAATTTGAATGTACATGTGATCCAATTATTTTTTTAAAAATCACTGGATTTAAAAAAAAATCACTGGATTTTTATTAGAAATGGATTGTAGAAACAGTCGCGCTTACTGAAGTGACCTGGCAAAAAGTGACGTGCCTTGCACTGAAGTAGCAGTGGGGGAGTTGGAGAAAAGCATCTAAGTGGATGGATGGACATAAGACCTATTTCAAAAATAAAACTGACAGGAAATCCATTTAAACAGTATTCTGATAATAAGATACACATTGCTTTAACAAAGATTATCTACCTTCTCATTACATAAGTATTCAATCAATAATTATCATTAAAAGATTCAAAATAGGGGTGCCTGGGTGGCTCAATCAGTTGAGCATCTGACTCTTGATTTCAACTCAGGTCATGATCCCAGGGTTGTGGGATCAAGCCCTGTGTCAGGCTCCATGCTGAGAGTGGAGCCTACTTGCCTACTTGGGATTCTTTCTCTCTTTCTCTCTCTTTCCTTCTGCTCCTCTCCCCCACTTGCACTATAAGTAAGTAAGTAAGTAAGTAAGTAAGTAAGTAAATAAATAAATAAATAAATAAATAAATAAATAAACAAACAAACAAATAAATAAATAAATTTTAAGACTAAAAGGGGTTCTCATGCTCAGAAAAGTTGAGAACCATTGACACAGAAAATCTTCACGTTCCTTCACTCTAAGATATTCCAGTGTATAAATCTAAGTCTTATTTAATTCCCACAATCTATCCCTGACTCCAGACCTTCTCTGGTTGGCCTTTAAGAAGTATGCACTACACTAGCTCCTTCTTACCTGCAGCAACAAGACAGAGCTCCTTCAAGCCACAGGGACTTCCAAGGAAAGCTGAGGAACACATTTTCTCCTAATATACCTGGCTGAGCCCCCAACTAAATATGGGTCATTTACTCTAAAACTTCTCAGATTTCTTTCCACCAAAGCCCTGGTGTCCTAACTCACTCTTGACTGAGCTTTACAAAGTCACTGATTCTAAGAATGTGCTAGAAACTTACACATTGCCTCCTTTCCTTCCATTCCAATTGGTCCTTGCCTATTTTACCTTCCCTCTCTACCTGAGTCAGATTCCTTTATTCATCATTTTAATGATATTCTTATTACTCTTCAGAACTCCCTTGTCCTAATGTCCTTGAGTCATACTTCAACTGGGCAAATCTTAACTCCGTATTCATGCAACATCGGCCTCCACTGCGTCTGCAGCTTCAACTTTCTTAACTTGCCACAGACATAGAACACATTAACTACCTCCTCCTCCTAGAAACAGCTCCTCTGATGGTGTATATTACACTTTTATTTTCTCCTGCCTCATAAGGTACTTTACTGGGCTCTCCTCTTCCAGCAGCCCCTAAAGCATTAGAGCTCACCTTTCCATTTGATCCAAGAAGGAGTAGCCCCATTCCCCCCAGCTCTTCAGTTCCTCAACTGAAAGCCCCTGCACAACAAACACAACAAACAAAGATAGAAAGACTCTGAATAATGGAAAGAAGTAAGGGGACTGCCTAAGGAACCTGGGGACTTAAGGAACAGCCTAACACCAACTTCCCTGGGTATACTCATCAAAATTAAAAACAATTGCTTTATAAAAGACCCTCTGAAGACAGTTTAAAGACAAGTTATAGACTTGGAAATATATGTGCAAACCTCCTGGCTGAGAAAAGACTTGTATCTGATCTATATACATACTCTCAGACTCAACAGTCTGATTAAAAAATAGGAAAAAGACAAGAAAAAACACTTCACTAAAGAAAATATCCATGAGGTAAACAGGCATATGAAGAGATATTCAACATCCTCAGTCACAGGAAAAATAAACATTAAAATTTCAATGAGGTATTACTATGTATCTAACAGAACAGCTAGTATGAAAAATAGTGCAATTTGGTGACAACACCAAATGCTGGCATGGAGGTAGAGAAAATAGGTCACTTACATATTGTTGGTGAGAATCTAAAATGGTGAAGCCAACCTGAAAAACAATATGCTATAAAACTAAACATACAATTACCATATGGCAGAAACTGCACTCTTGGACTTACATCCCAGACAAACAAAAACTTACTATCACACAAAAATGCAGCAGGTTTATTCTTAAAAGTTAAAACCTGAAAACAACCTAGATGTCCTTCAATGGATGAATGATTAAGCAAACCAGAGTACATCCATTCCACAGAATAATAGTAATAAAAAGAATTAATAGTTAATATACACACATCTTGGACAAATCTCTAGGGGATTATGCTAAATGAAAAGAGCCAATCCTAAAATACAACATACTGTATGATTCCATTTGTATAATATTCTTGAAACAAGAAAATTACAGAAATGGAGAACACATCAGTAGTTGCCATGGGTTAGGGAAGGGGGACGGCGTGGAGGAGGGAGAATGAAATGGTGTGTGGGTAGAAGGGCAATAGGAAGGAGGCTCTGCTGATGGACTGTTCTGTGTCCTGAAAATGGTGGTGGATGCACAGACCTACACATGTGAAGTTGTACAGATTTAAATACACACACACACACACGCGCGCGCGCGCGCGCGCGCGTGCGCAGGTAAAACTGGGGAAAGGTGAATAAACTCTGTGGATCATACCAATGTTACTCCCATGATTTGCTATCGTGCCATAGTTACACGAGATGTTACCATGGTGGAAACTACAGGAAGGACACGTGGGACTCCTCTGTACATTTCTTGCAACTTCCTATAAATGCATAATTATTTCAAAATAAAAATTTTAAACCAAGAAAGGCAACCGGAATTCTTCATAGTTCTGTCTTTTACACATTTCTTTTCTGTAAATTCTTTTCAAGTAATCTTTTTCACTCATTCCTATGAATTCAAATCCTTTCAAAATTCCCAAATTCCCAAATCTGTATCCCAGCTCAGACTCCTGTCGTGAGTTCCCGACCCTTGGATTCAGGTGGACATCTCCATTTGATATCTCAAAAGCACTTCGAACTCAGTAAGTCAAAAATGTAATTTGTCTTCTTCCCCAAATGCCTCCTTCTTTTCCAGTGTTCCCTATTTCAGTAAATTGTAGCACCATTCACCCAACCAGAAATCTGGATGCCACCCTTTACTTTTTCCTACCCTTCATTCCTCACATTCAACTGATCACAACTTCTATCTCCTTGTTACCTCCGGAATCCTTTTACCTTCTTACATCCTCACTGCCACCACCCTAGTCTACTCTGTTGCCCTGAGAGTTGCAACAGTCTCTTAAATTTCTCCCCAGATCTTTCCCACCAACAACCCATATCTCTAGTCAAATCCATTCTCCTACTGAAGTCACATGAATATTTTACAATCATAAATGTGGTAATATAACTCTCATATTTAAAACTCTTTAAAGGATTCCTATTATACTCAGGATCATTTCTAAAATTAAGGCTAAAAGACCCTCTACTATATGATTCTTAATCTACTTCCTTCCTCTGTGCTCCAACCACACAGATGGGCTTTTAGTTAAACATGTCACACCTCATGACCTTCACACTTACTGGCTTCTCTATCTAAAACGACCTACCCAGTCCCTACCCAATTAACTTGGTTAACTCTACTCAGTCTAACATAGGTATAGGAATCACGGCATGTCATTAAAAGATACATATTTTTCTCATGTTGCACATACAGAAACTGAGGTTCAGAGAGGTTAGGGTATCTGTCCCTAACTAGGTAAGAGAGCATAAATGCCTAATTACAGAGCCATACCAACTTCATTATGGGCATGTTATAATTACTCTGTGCCTTGGTTTCCTCATCAAAAAAAAAAAAATGACAGCAATAATACTTATGGCACAAAGTTGTTTTCAGAATTAAATGGGTTAGAGGCACCTGGGTAGCTCACTTGGCTCAGCGACTAACTCTTGATTTCGGCTCAGGTCATGATATCAGGGGTTCGTGGGTTTGAGCCCCCTGTGGGGCTCCTGGGATTCTCTCTCTCCCTTTCTCTCGGCCCCTCCCTGCCTCCTGTGCTCCCCTGCACAAGCCTGTGCACTAGCACTCTCTCTTTCTCTCTCAAAAATAAATAAATAAACTTAAAAAAAGAATTTAATGAGTTAACACGTAAAGAGCAGTGTCTATTATATAAGCACTATATAGGTATATGTTTTTATGGTGGCGGCAGTGATGGTGATGATGATGATTATTATTATTATTATCATTGCACATTACATTTAAACCACAAAGGGCAAAAGTGACATTTTCCTTTTGAACCCTACAGCAGAATACCTGCTGCTTTGTTTCCTACGTGTTTTATAAGTTCCTATACACGCTTCCAGGCTCCTATCTCCACCTTCCTTTCCGGATTGCCTCCATGCTTTAGCCCAAGAACTTTATCATACATTGAGAGGAGATTTGAATCCCAAAATAAAAAGTTTTACTTAGGTCCTACAAATGACTGAGACTGTACAGAAAAGGAGTAATGTATCTTCCCCCTCCCAAACTTGCATGCCCTTGACCCTCCAGCTCTCCTCCCCAACACAGCTCCATAGCCTCACCCCCAGACAGCGTCCTAATAGACGACAGCATCCTAATAACCGTGACAAAGAGATCCCTTCGGTCACTCACCAGTCACCATCAGCAAGGTTAACAGGATACGATTCATGCTGATGTCTGAATCCTGCGCTGAGGATATGGATGGAAACTAACAGGCACAAGACAGGGACAGAACTTATGCCCTGCTTGGGGATTCTGAACAGCAGGTGCAGAAGGTGCAGGCAGGAGATCCGAGGATACAGATTCTACAGAAGTCTATCATCTAGGGGCATCTCCTTCCACTCTGGACCCTCAGTGTGAAAGCGGGTTCATCAGTCGCAGCTGCCCACCTCTGTCAGTAGGCACAGAAACCTCAGTCTGATGAGGCCGGCCCTATGGGAAGATGAGCAGGGATCTGAGCTTTATCCACCTCATCTAGGGAAAAGAATTCCAAAGCAGGCGTCAAGCAGACCTTCTGTGGAGTTCAAATTCATCCCAAGTTTCTCCCCTGGCCTCTCAGTTCTTTCCACTGGTCCCTTCCCCACAATGTGTGACTAGCATCCCTCCTTCTACATGTCCCATTGACCCCTTTCCTTTCCGGGCCACTCTGATGAAGCAGAGCTGAGTCCCACCCTTCTGTGTGACATTGACGCCCTCCCCTCTATGCAGGTGGTGCCCAGACCACCCCTCCTCAGAACTGCTTGACTTGCGCAGGTCTTGTCTCACAACCACAGACACGATTTGAATAAAAGTTCCCAATCAATACCAACACAAGTGGTTCTTGTCAGATCTCTAAATCTGTTATTACACTGCCCTCCTGGCTGCAGCTCTCTCTCTCTCTCTCTCTCTCTCTCTCTCTCTCTCACTCGCTGTCTCTCTCTCTCATTCTCTCCTTTCTCTGTAGCTGCCTTTTTCAAATTGATTTTTGGTGGCAGAATATAATAAGAATATTACCTAAACAGAAAATCAGTCAGATGGCAAAATGCAACACTACAATTAGAGTCTCTATAAACCTGATGGTTTGTGGAATGAGGCTATGGACACATATGTCCCCATGTGTACACAGAATCTGTGATAATACCAATAAGGAACTTCATAACAAAAAATTACGAACATAGGAGGAAATATTTAATATCTCACACACACCCATCCATCCCTCCATAGAATTCTAAAATCATTTTTTCAAAAAGAAGCTTAAAGAACAATGTCCACATCAGATATCAGTATCCTAAAACAAAACAGGAAAAAATAAATGGGATTAGCAAACTGCAGAGAGCATTCAAAGGCTAATGTTAAAAAGGTATTAGTATTGAAACAAGAAAACCTGCAATTGAAAGTGGTTTGGTAGGCCTGGAGAAAAGTGTGTGGGGTAGGTGGGTGGGAGAGGGGAGGCAGAGAGAAGCTGAGCAGAGAGGACTGAAGAGGACAAAATGGGATGAGGGTCAAGGGAGGCCCCTAAAGCATGCTGGGGGATTACGCTACTGGCAGCAGGGAACTACTGAAGAGTTTTTAAAAGGAGACTGGCATGATCTCATCTGCACTTCAGGGGGAAGAAACAATTCTGAGTACAAAAGAGGAGACCAAGTTGAGCAACACTAGATGGGCATATACAGGAGTTCAAGCACAACAAGATTGTGGCCTAGATCAGGATGACAGCAGTGAGGATGGAAAGATTGGGATGGATTTAAGAGACATCTGGAAGTAGGATGGTTTGAGGTCGAGTGGTCAGAAAGAGAGAGAAATCAAACAAATGGAAGGCAGAGTTATCTCCTAAAATAAGAAAAACAGGCAAAGAATGCATTTAAAAGGCTGGAGGCATGAAGGGTTAAATTTTGACATGCTAAATCTCAAGATCTCAGGGAGCTAAAGCAGATGCAAAAAAAAAAAAAAAAAAGGTTTCCAGGAGGCAGTTGTATCTGTGGGACAGGTGGTCTGGGCTGGAGATACTAATTTGAGACTCGTAGACCGGTAGCTGTCCCCAGTAACAGCCTCCTCCAGAAAATCTGTTGTTTTTGGAAAGGACCCAAACTCCCTTCCTGGTCCATAAACTTTGCAAAAAATCTAGGACAAACAACATCAGAGTAAAGAATATCTCTTTCTCAACTTTTCACCTGTGCTAACTACTCCTACCCTCACCAACAGAAAGCCTTCCATAGCTCCATCCTGTCTTTGAACCTCAAGCATATTTCATAATGAAGCCCTATTCTCAGGGAACTTGCGTGACGGAATGGACCTTTCAAGGTCTAGGAATGCTAGTTGATTAGCCGAAGCCTGGAGGATATAGTTGAAAAGCTGTGTGTACCCAATAAGGAGATCAGGATTCTACTTCTATCTTTCCAATCATGTGTGACTTTGAGAAAATGACTTAAATTCTGTTTCAGTTCGGCCACCTACAGATCAAGAAAAAAACCACCCCAGCCCTGTCTCCTCTTTGCAGGTTGTTGTGCCACTGGAATGAGATTATGGGTTTAAGAAACCCTGAAGGATTAGAGTGGCACAAAGTATAGTAATTTTACAAATCTCAGACTGACCTGATACAAAATCCCCATGGACAATGTCCATACAGAAGTAAAGAATGTAGCTCAGTGCCTCGGATTCGGTAAGTGTTCAATGAATGTTAGCTAATAGTGAAACTGTGCTTGTTAGAGTGTCTCCAAATTAGCCGAGGATGACCCTAGCCATTTATCATTGCCGGAGAAACCTTTTCATTAGGTAAAAAGCACCAACAGGTCCTGCCTTGTGAACTGTCACCAAAACACAGAAGATCCTAAATTCAATATAATCCAGAATGTACACCATTCTCCAACTGCCAAAATAACTGTTCCATGAGTGCTTTTCATTTCCACATTTCCTTGGCTCAAAGCTGGTGATCAGGACCACCAGACCTGGTGGTGATGATGACTGAGTGATGAAACAGTGGTCACAGGGAAAGGTGAAGCCAGTGTAATAAAGATGGGAGGGGCTAAGGGAAAGTATAAGTAACTATTAGGGTGTTCAGAGCAAACCTGGGGACACTGTCTACCTGAGCTAAGGTGGAGCATCTTGTCCCCCACAGCCCTGGCCTCAGAAACTCCCTGAGGAAGATGAGTCCTGAGCCAGAGTCCCTTTCCCATAGACAGCTGACTTGGGCAGATGGGCTTTGAGGCATAGCAGGGAGAGGAGCCTGGATCTGGAAGTCTAAGGAACAAGGCTTCTTTTTCCTTCTTTGAAAGACCCAAGAGAGGCACAGTGTCCCATCCCCCAGCCTCCCTGGAGCAGAAGGACCTTCATCTGCCTACCTGGAGCCTTCTTCCCTCCCCCCATTTATGCCCAGATCTGCTTTCCCATCCTATTTTGGGTCCCCACGCCTAACCACAGCCATTGATTCTACCAGGTGTTCCTGAGAGTTCCATACTCTGCTGATCTTCTGCATCTCACGGGGAAAGATCTGGACTGCTATGAAATTTATATTTTATTTGGGTGTCCTTGCTGGTATGTATCCATGAGCTTCTACTCTGTCCTATAAGGCACAGGTTAATGCAGGCTGGAGGAAGGCAGATTGGGGTGTGTAGAGGGTACAAAAGAAGAGTCTAAGAAAAAGTGGTCATGGACAGAAGTAGGTATCTCCTGTCCCAGACCACACCCATAGGCTCCCATGAGGCTGAGCTCACCCTTCCAGTGCTAAGCTATGGGACGGGTGATGGTGCTCACTTGCCTTGGAGAGTGCTCGACAGTGAGCATTCCCCACTGGTGATTCCAAAATGTGGGCTTCATCACCCACTGGGCAAGTCCCAGTGTGGTCACAGGGACAAAGAACACATTCCGAAGTCTGATATCCCCCCTATTCCAGAAGCTTAGAGACTCAGAAAGCAGGGAATGAAGAAGGTAGAAACAAAAGATCAAATGCAAGGGCCCTACCCCCTGCACTCCCTGACTTCCACGAGTCCTTCTGATGGCAGAATTTGCTGGTGAGGCATCTCCCACCACCTCCAGACCGTCTATGTTGCATCACTATTAGCTGTGTGAGCACAGACAAGTCAATCTACCCATGCTTTAGTTTCTTCAATCAAAATGGGGATATTACTAACTACATCATAGAGATGTTGTGAAAGTGTTAAATAAATCCATGTAAAGCACTTAGAACAAGAGCTCAATGCCTCAATGCCTCCTGTCCTTTTTCCCTTGGGATTTCTAACTATGTGATCATAAAAGGGTATGGGGAGGTGGAGGCCAAGACTTGGGAAGGATAAATGGAAGAACCAAGGGCAGCCGAGGTAAGAACAGTATTTTATTTCTGATACTACAAGCAGTCTTCCTCCCTTTCTTAAGTGTTTTTCTTTAATAAGTCATTTTTTAAATATTACATGTTAATATTAAAAACTTAGAAATATTAAAAAGTAGGAAAAAAATAAACACTTCATAACCTCACCTCACAGTCAACACATGCTAACACTTCAACTTACTCTCAGGCTTCACTTATTTATTTGTCATTCAAATGGTTTATCTTTTTGTTTCTTTGCTTGTTTTTAGACAACTGGATTACCAGATTAATATACATTTCATTATCATTTTTAACTTAAAGAAAGGTTATTAATATTTTCTTTGCTGTTTAATATTCTTTATAAATACAATTTTAATATTTCCATATATTGATGTACTTTTTTATTTCAAATGCCCTACATTACTATATTGGACACTTATATTTCCAGTGTTTACCTATTATAAATAGTGTTAAAATGAGCACACATTCATAATCTTTGTCTATATCTGATTATTTTAGGACAGATTCTTAGGGTTGGAACTATTAGGTCATAAGTGATGAACTATTTACACTTTTGATGCCTATTTCTAAATTGCTTTTCAAAAAGACAGAATCAATTCACGTTGCTACATGTAGTAAAAGAGTCTCTTCATTGTACTTTCTTAGATTCAATATTATCAACATTAAACCAAAAATTAATATTATAAGTATCAGATAAAATGGTATATCATTTTAATTTACATTTTATTAGAAAAAGAGGGTCAAACATTTTCATATTTCCTGGCCAATCAATTATTTCTTTAAAATTATCCATATTCTAGGGGCACCTGGTTGGCTCAGTCAGCTAAGCATCTGACTTTGGCTCAGGTCATGATCTCACGGTTCATGAGTTCGAAACCCATCTTGGGCTCTGGGCTAACAGCTCAGAGCCTGAAGCCTGCTTCAGATTCTGTCTCCCTCTCTCCCCCTCCCTGCTCATACTCTGGCTCTCTCTCTCTCAAAAATGAAATAGACATTAAAATAAGAAAGAAAGAAAGAAAGAAAGAAAGAAAGAAAGAAAGAAAGAAAGAAAGAAAGAAAGAAAGAAAGAAACTATCCATGTTCCTTTCAACTAGGAAACTGTTAACTGTCTTATTTGTCCTAAGATATGTCTTCTATATTAAGAATGTTTTATATGTTAAGAATACTAATTATTTTCTCAGGGACAGTTTTCTCTACTCATGCATCTGTGCAGAAAGACGACCATGCTCCCTACTTGGTATACCTCAAGTCGCACTTCAACCCCTGTGTGGGTGTCCTCATCAAAAACAACTGGGTGCTGGCCCCAGCTCACTGCTACTTACCGTGAGTGTTGGGAACCCTCACTCCCACCCCCTGAAACAGCCTGATTCATTCTACATGAGTGGTTCTAAAAGGGAGGCAACTTTTCCTTCCAGGGTACATTTGGCAAAGTGAAGATATTTTCAGTTGTCACAGTGGACTGAGGGGTGCTGTGCTACTGGCATCTATCTAGAGAATAGGGCCTATGGCAAGGATGCTACTAAACATTCTACAATGTGCACCCCCTCAACAATTACCCGGCTCCAAATGTCACTACTGCTGCTGGGAAGGAAACCTGTTCCATACACTGTGCCTCCTCAGTCTCCCATCAGTTTGTTTCAAGTTTTTTACTGATGAGATAAATGTGTTTTATTAATTAAGGGACCAGCAGGTAACTGAGGGTACACTCAAATTGGACAAATTGAGGAGAATTTTTAAAAATGACTAACGACAAAGGTACAGACAAGTTATAGGGGAAGCACAAAGAAGAGTTCAATGCCCCCAGGATTAGTATTAGAAGGGTACAGTTACTCCCCCTAGACCTAAAGGGGCAAGAGGAGAGGTTGGTTCAAAGGGGAGAGGAGCAGGGGAGGGTGGGAGGAGAGAGAAAGGAAGAGAGGAAGCCCTGTGTACAGGGATTGCCTGATAGAAGCTGGGGCAGCCCTGCAGGAAGGGAGCTTGGAGGATAAATACTCGAACCTCACTCTTCTCCTCTAACTACTTCCTGGTGCTTGCTATCAACCGAAACCCAAGCAGAGAGCAGAGGACAGGAGAACCCATTGGCTTAATCCATATGTAACACCTTCCAAAGGCAGAGAGCAGGATGAAGCAGGGTTGCGAGTGGGTTTAATGAAACCAATGGATCTCCACCACTCAGGTCATGCCATTGTCTTACCTCCACCAGAATGGAAATGCTCAGTTGGAGAGGCTGGAGCTCGAGTGGAGGGAAAATATTATTTCTATGCCATGCATGATTTTCCTCTCTACTACATTAAGGATGCTACATGAAAACACAGTGGTTAAGGCTCCACCACCTACTGTGTGACCATGGGGGAATTACTGCTATGTGGTTCCATCATCTGTTAAATGGATTAAAGATAGAATCCACTCCATAGTTTTGTTGTAAGTAGTAAATGAGGTAATCCAGAATCCAGACCGAGCAATTGGCATAGCACCTGACACATTATAACATTTAATATCTTTGATGATGATGGTGGTGGTGGTGGTGGTGGTGGCGGTGGTGGTGATGGTGACGGTGATTACTCCCACCCCCTTCTCCCTCCAGAAACCTGAAAGTGATGCTGGGAAATTTCAGGATCAGAGTCAGAGATGGCACAGAGCAGACAATTAACCCCATTCAGATTATCCGCTACTGGAACTACAGCCATAGCGCCCCCCAGGATGACCTCATGCTCATTAAGCTGGCTAAGCCTGCCAACTTCAACAACAAAGTCCAGCCACTTTCCCTCGCCACCAGCAATGTCCGGCCAGGCACTGTCTGTCTGCTCTCAGGTTTGGACTGGAGCCAAGATAACAATGGTGAGTGTACCTTCCACAGCAAATCAGGGTCATCAGTCACCCATGTCCAAAGAGCTGAGAAGAGAGGAGAGGAGAATGGATGGAGACCATGAGGGTGCTAGCAAAAAGAGACTCATCCGGAAGTCCAAAGCTCCTCCCAACCCAGTGATGACACAATGACACAGAGCAACCTCCTCCAGGCTCCAGCAGCCGGGGCCACCAGGCCATCAGACTCTGCACACAGGCCACACTATTCCTGACTGCCAGACACATGGTTCACATCAGAGAGGCTGTGCTCCTCCCTTGCATCCAGGCTCATTTTGCATGTAGGGGACACCTCTGAGGACTTGAGTCAGGTCACCCCATATTCCTCCAAGACTAGATACGATGGAAAGAAAACCACTTCTTAAAAGAGACATGCAGGCTATTTTTCAATCCTCTAGATTAACTCTCATAACCATGCACAAGATCCTTGCCTTTTCTCAGCCCTTTTTTCTTCAGACATACACACAAAACACCAGTTGAAACACAGGGCAGTGACTGGAGAGTCTAAATAACAATTGCGAGCAGGCAACCTTTTTTATCCTGTCTTCCCTCAGGCAGGCATCCTGATTTAAGGCAGAACCTGGAGGCTCCTGTGATGTCTGATAAAGAGTGCCAGAAAACTGAACAAGGAAAAAGCCACAGGAACTCCTTATGTGTGAAATTTGTGAAAGTGTTCAGCCGAATTTTTGGGGTAATCTTTTCTCTATATTCAACATTCATTTGCTTGTATGTGTCTAGTTTAACTAACCATGACAGCGATTAGAAAATTAGAAAGCCCTCATCCTCTTGCAATCTTTTGAGAATTTGATAAGGCTGCACCAGGCCCTCCTTACAGATGCCTTTATCCATTAAAGTGTGGCATGCAATCCCTCTAGTTAATAACACTTTGCTAGATTTATTACTCTCATAGCTGCAAGAAAAAACAGGCATTGCTTTAAAAAAGAATTCAAACTTTTCACAAGGGAAACTCGCTTCACCAGTCCAAATAAATGGGGTTTGACTCATTTTACATGTGAGTTCTAGAGAAGTTTTTCTCTGACTTTCTCAAGATGAAACAAGGCTAGTTACAACAAAGCTAGGTAAATGACTCCAGCTTCCTATCTCCCAATTCGGTGCTGTTTTCATAACCCATGAGCCTACCTCTGGGCAGGGCTCATCCCACTGGGGGACTGGAGGGCTCCTGTGAGAAGATCCGATCATATCTCTCTTGTCTGTCTCCCTCTGCATGATCTCTGGTAGGAGGTGGCCGTCGCTACTGTCATCTGCAAAAACAAGCTCCAGGGAATCGAGGTCGGTCACTTCATGGGAGGGGATGTCGGAATCTACACCAATGTTCACAAATATACCTCCTGGATTGAGAACATCACTAAGGATAAATGACACCCTTCTACGCTCTCTGTATCCCACTGGCTCTAGTCATTGACTATACAGGCCACTATTTTCTCCAAACTCAAAATAAAAATCTCCAAACAGAAATGCATTACACCAGTAGCCTATGTTTTCTTGGTTGTGTCTCTTCCCATATCCCATAATGATGTGAAGAACCAAGGACAAAACATGACATGAGCACTCATCACACAGTAGTAGGGTTACACCCATTATCTCGTTTAATGCTCACAACAATCCTCTGAGGTTATCTTTTATCCTCACTTTACAAATGAGAAAAATGAGACTAAAAGAGAGTACTTAACATTATCCAAAGCTGACAGACATCAGAGCCTAGAATAGAACCTCCAAATATCGTTTCTCAATCCCATGCTCTCAGCCTCAAAATTATAGGGGAGTCTGTGGCATCACAACAGATTTTGGCTTCTATTTTTCTGCTACTTCTCTTATCATTCAAAGAGCTTGAAGCTTTCACTTGTGGCTAAAATCCTGGGTACTGGAATAATCTCTCCTAAGAACTGCCATGCTCCCTCTCACTGCTACACTGACTGCAGCATGCTACAGGGAGAGAGTTAGCGGATGCATAAGAGGCTAACAAAGAGAACTTCAGGACAGGGTCACTGCCATAAATCAAGTCCAACAGGAAGCCTGGCAGCTCCAGAAGAGGGTGAAGAGCTCATCTAGATCCAAGAAGAGTATAATCTCAGGGCAGTGGAAGATTCCAGAAGCAGATATGGCTGAGAGGAGGTGAAGGAAGGGCAGAAATTTGGCTTAGCTACACACAGACCACGGGATTAATAAGGTCAAGAAAGCAGGTACCAGTCCTCTGGTTGAAGACATGGTAAAGAACTTGAAAACTGAGAACTCCGGGGCCCCAAGTCTGGAAATGATCAGGGAATTCTGGATATCCAAGAGACTGGGGAATACAGGACAAGGATGGGTAATCTTCCAACAGATGTAGACTGAGGAAACAACCACACACTACCCTTGGATAATATTTCCTATTCCGTAAATTTAAAACACAATCTATACATTAAAGACCTTGGTGTTAGGCAGAATAATGGCTCCCCAAAGATGTCCACACCCTAATCCCCAGGACCTATGAATATGGGTTTTTTCCATGAAAAAGTCAGTTTTGCAGCTGTGATTATTCTTATGGACTTGAGGATGGGGAGATTATCCTGGATTATGTGGGTGGGGCCAGTGCAATCATATGGGCTGTTAAAAATAGAAGAAGAAGAGAGAATATTTGGGCAAAGAGATGTGACAACAGAAAGGCAGCAGAGATTCAAAGCATGAGAAAGACCTGAGCTGCCATTGCAGGTTTTGAAAATGGAAGAAGGGGGCTACAAAGCAAGAAATGTAAGCAGTCTCTAGAAACTGAGAGCGAACCTCAGCTTCCAGCTAGCAAAGAAATGGGAACTTTAGTACTACAATTGCAAGGAACTGAATTCTAACAACAACCAAAATAGGCAAGGAAATGGATTCTCTCTAACAAGAAGCACAACCTTGACAACACTTTGATTTTAGCCCATTAAAACTGGTCAAACTTCTGACCTACAGTATTGTAACATAAGAAATTTGTGTTGTTTAAGGTGTTTCTGATAATTTGTTATAGGAGCCATAGGAAACCAATACAACCTTTAAAACATAGTCTCTAGAAGAACTTCTTTCTGGGGTGCTCAGCTGGTTAAGCATCTAACTCTTGATTATAGCTCAGGTCATGATCTCCTGGTTCATGAGATTAACCCCCACATTGGGCGCTGTGTTGACAGTGAGGAGCCTGCTTGGGATTTTCTCTCTCCCTCTCTCTCTCTCAGCCCTTCTCCCCACCCCCAATCTCTCTCTGATAAATAAATAAACATTTAAAAAATAAAATAAAAGAACTGGTTTCTATATTGGGAGGTAAAAACCTTCAATTGTTCCCAATTGTCCTAAAATAAACTCTAAAACCATCAGAATGGCATCCAAACCTCCTTGAGACCTCCCACCCACCCTACCCATATACTCCCAAAATATTTCTTTTTAAATTTTTTT